GTCTGCTCTCACAACTGTTGTTTATCACAGTACTGAAAGTACTAGCCTCAGTAATCAGAAAACAAAAAGAAAAAAAAGTCATCCAAATTGGCAAAGAAGTCAAACTTTCACTTTTCACAGATGACATGATATTCTACATGGAAAACCTCAAAGATTCCACCAAAAAACTTCTAGAAGTGATACATGAATTCAGCAAAGCTGCAGGATATAAAATTAACATACAGAAATCAGTTACATTTCTATACACCAATAATGAAGCAACAGAAAAAGAAATCAAGGAATCTATGCCATTGATAACTGCACCAAAAACCATAAAATACCTAGGAATAAACCTAACCAAAAAGGTAAAAGATCTACACAGAAAGCTATGGAAAACTTAGGAAAGAAATTGAAGAAGACACAAAGAAATGGAAAAATATTCCATTCTCATGGACTGGAAGAAAAAATATTGTTAAAATGTCAATACTACCCAAAGCAATCTACACATTCAATGCAATCCCTATCAAAATACCAGCATTCTTCACAGAGCTAGAGCAAATAATTATAAATTTGTACAGAACTAGAAAAGTCCCCAAAGAGCCAAAGTAACGTTGAAAAAGAAAACCAAAGCTGGAGGCATCCCAATTCTGAACTTCAAGCTACATTACAAAGCTACAATCATCAAGATAGTATGGTACTGGCACAAAAAGAGACACAAAGACCAATAGAACAGAACAGAAAACCCGGAAATGGACCCACAAATACATGGCCAACTAATCTTTGACAAAGCAAGAAAGAATATCCAGTGGAAAAAAGACAGTCTCTTCAGCAAATGGTGTTGGGAAAACTGGACAGCGACATGCAGAAGAATAAATCTGGACCACTTTCTTCCACCATACACAAAAATTAACTCAATATGGATGAAAGACCTAAATGTAAGACAGGAAGCCGTCAAAACCCTAGAGGAGAAACCAGGCAAAAACTTCTGATCTCAACTGCAGCAACTTCTTACTAGACATGTCTCCGGAGGCAAGGGAAACAAAAGCAAAAATGAACTACTGGGACCTCATCAAGATAAAAAGCTTCTGCACAGCTAAGTAAACAATCAACAAAACTCAAAGGCAACCAACATAATGGGAGAAGATATTTGCAAATGACATCTCTTATAAAGGGTTAGTATCAAAAATGCATAAAGAATTTCTCAAACTCAACACCCAAAAAATAAATAATCCAGTGAAGAATGGACACTTTTCCAAAGACATCCAGATGGCAAACAGACTCATGAAAAGACGCTCAACATTACTCATCATCAGGGAAATACAAATCAAAACCACAATGAGATACCACCCCACACCTGTCAGAATGGCTAAATGAACAACTCAGGAAACAAAGATGTTGGCGAGAATGTGGAGAAAGGGGAACACTTTTGTACTGTAATGCAAACTGGTGCAGCCCCTCTGGAGAACAGTACAGAGGTTCCTCAAAAAATTAAAAAATAGAGCTATCCTATGGCTAGCAATTACACTACTATTTATACAAAAAATACAAAAATGCTGATTCCAAGGGGCATATGCACCCCAATGTTTACAGCAGCACTATCAACAACAGCCAAATTATGGAAAGACCCCAAATGTCCAATGACTGATGAATGGATAAAGAAGATGTGGTATAGGGGCACTTGGGTGGCTCAGTCGGTTAAGCGGCCGACTTCGGCTCAGGTCACGATCTCACACTCCGTGAGTTCGAGCCCCGCGTCGGGCTCTGTGCTGACCGCTCAGAGCCTGGAGCCTGTTTCAGATTCCGTGTCTCCCTCTCTCTGACCCTCCCCCGTTCATGCTCTGTCTCTCTCTGTCTCAAAAATAAATAAACGTTAAAAAAAAAAAATTAAAAAAAAAAAAAAAAGATGTGGTATATATATACAATGGAATATTACTAAGCAATCCAAAAGAATGAAATCTTGCCATTTGCAACAATGTGAATGGAACTAGAATGTATTTTGCAAAATGAAATCAGTCAGAGAAAGACAAATATCATTTCACTTATATGTGGAACTTAAAAAAACAAAACAGATGAACATAGGGGAAAGGAAGGAAAAATAAGATAAAAACAGAGAGGGAGGCAAACCAGGGGAGACTTTTAAATACAGGGAACAAACTGAGGGCTGTTAGAGGGGAGATGGGGACAGGATGGGCTAAATGGGTGATGGGCATTAAGGAGGGCACTTGTTGGAATGAGCACTGGGTGTCATATGTAAGTGATCCATCACTAAATTCTACTCCATTATTATACTATATGTTAACTAACTTGGATTTAAATTAAAAAATAATAATAAATTTGTTGTAGATTTAAAAAAAAGATGAAGTATACAACAAAATAAAGATACAGAAATCTAAATAATGTAATTAATAAGCTATGTCTGATTAATAAATTTCAAATTTCATACCCTATGAAAAACTGCATACCTATTTTCAGGTTTCCATGTAACATTAAATAACCTATCCACTCAAAAAGGAGAAAAAATTGTGAGAATTTGGGCTTTTACCATTACTGTTTGAACGCCAGTTATGCCTTTAAATAAACTGGCTATAAAACAATGAGAAAAATGTTCATCTCCAAGAATTTTTTTTTTTTTTAAGATTTTAATATATATTTTAGAAAGAGTCTACAAGCAGGGCAGAGAGAAAGAAAGAGAGATAAAGAGGGAGAGAGATTCTTAAGCAGGCTCCATTACCAGTGTGGAACCCAAAGCAGGGCTCAATCCCACGACCCTGGGATCATGACTTGAGCCAAAATTAAGAGTCAGATGCTCAAGAGAGTGACCTACCCAGGTGCCCCTGCAAGAATTTTCTAAAGATTAAATGAAATACAGTATTTAAAGTTTAATAGTCTGGCACATGGTCTCAGATACACAAATTGTTCTTAATACTGTAGGATATTTGCCTTATGTTTTAGATATTCTTTACTGAAAGAGAAAACATTATTTCTGTAGTGCAGTCATCTACTTATCTATAATAGCAAACATTAATTCACAAAGAATCTAAAAATCACATTTTTTTCAAAATGGAACTCGTTGTAATACTAAAACTTCAACTGATATATAAAATGCATAAGCTAGGATACAAAAAGTCTAAGTTTTAAACTTCCTTGTCCTAGAGTTGGTGACTATTCTGTCACATTTCTTTATGATATAAACACACATAATAAGCTGTTTATATTATATATTTAACTTAGTTCACTAATACGTCTTTGAGATCATCCCATATCATTATCCATTACAGACATTCCATTCTTTTTAAAAGGTTGCATAGTGTTCTATTATATGAATATTATATGAAATTTTGGTTGTTTCTAATATGAGTAATCAAAAACAATGCAATAATACACATATTGGATGTAAAGCTACATTTTGGAAAATAGCTGCCAATTTTACCAGATACAGAAGGATATACACAATATGCTACAATTTATATACAAAACAGAAAGAAAATAAGAACATATGTGTTAACTGTTTATGTGGAAAGGAAATTAGGAAAAATACAAAAACCAACTAATAAAAATTACTTTCTTTGAGAGTCATTCTGAGAACCAGATAAATAAGAGACACAGTTAAGATTTTTCACTTATATGCCTTTGGAAACTGTTTTATCTTGAATAATATCACTGTATTCCTTACTCAAATAATTAAAGTCAAAGAATATAGCTTTTTCTTTCCATCTAAAATGCAAACATAAAATACATCAAGTATCTCATCAAAGCATTACACAGATAAAAAAAAAAAGTGAAAGCACCTGTAAAGGTTAATTTTTATGTAAGAAGAAAGCACAGAGTGCAATTATCAGAGGCTACATTCTGGTTGCTGGAGTAGTGACAGACCAAATGCTGTTTTGTAACCGAATAAAAAGACATACTTGAAATTCTAAAAAAGTTCCCTTATTTTTTCTACCTTTTTAATAAAATGTTTATCTTAATAAAAGTTTGTCAATTTCTGAAATTGTGAACAAGAACTTTCCTTACCTATTTCTTTACAACTGTACCCTTCTCCTTCCTTTCTTTCTTCATATAATCTACATGGACTTTTTTCTTTCTCTTTCTCCCTTCCTGCCATTTCTATAGGACATGCAAAGAGAATGCAGGATATCTTTCCTCACACCAAAGGAGGATACTGTAATATACACTAAAATATTTCAAGTGAAATGTTACCTACACCTCCTATTTCATTTGTACTTTGAAAAATTCTTAAAATTTAATCTCAAGAGCTTCCTATTCCAATAAAAAGCCTGAATTAATTTAGGACAATTACACAAACTATATTCTGAATATAATTATTTCAGATGAAATGCTCCATCATTTGGGGTTTAAGTCTGAGTGTTGAAAATTAAATGTAAAATTCAGATTTTCATTGTGTAATGTGTCATGCTCATGTTACCATGAACCCAAAAACATAATAATTAAAGAAACTATAAAAATGCCTTTTTTTAAAAGTTTGAATTAAACCAAATCTACTAAATATTTTGATTAATAATTTACTTTCATTTAAAATGAGCATACAATAAGCATACATTATAATGCATATAAACTTAATTCTTAAAATTTGATGATTCAGGGGCGCCTGGGTGGCTCAGTCGGTTAAGCGGCCGACTTCGGCTCAGGTCATGATCTCACACTCCGTGGGTTCGAGCCCCGCGTCGGGCTCTGTGCTGACAGCTTAGAGCCTGGAGCCTGTTTCGGATTCTGTGTCTCCCTCTCTCTGACCCTCCCCCGTTCATGCTCTGTCTCTCTCTGTCTCAAAAATAAATAAACGTCAAAAAAATTTTTTTTTTTTAATTTGATGATTCAGAGCAAATTTAAAAATCTTATATGAAGATAATCATTATGAATATAAATCTTTGCCAAAGTTATATGGAAATACCACTATGAGAAGATTTTTTTCATTAAATATCTAGACAAAGCATTATTTACTATAAATCAATATTTTAGGGATTTGCAAACCTGTTTAAAATTAAATTTTGAAAAAGTTTTACCTTCATGTGATTTTTCAAAGGATCCAAAAGATTAAAATGAATATTGCACTTTGGACAAGCTCTTGGAAAAGGTGTTCCATTTTTAGATTGATTTGATGAGGTATTTGTACCTAAAATAAATTCAAAACATATGTAATTCAAAATTCATCTTTTATAATTTTAATCACTAAAAATAGGAAATTTACGATTTCTAAAATTTATATATAAATACTATAATTTCTTTTGTATATGCCACATTTCATATTTACCTTTTGATGATGTAGCCTGGGGAGATGTCACTGAAAGAGACTTAACTGAAGGAAATACAGCTGAAGAATTTATTCCAGAAACACCATCACTGGGCTTAGGTTTTTTTGGATTAACGCTGTTTACTTCAGAAGTAGAAGGACGTTTTGATAAAAACGAACTTTCATTCATACCTACAATGAGTTAAATAAGTGCGAAAAGTATTTTTAAACACTGTAGCATGTTTCCTACAACTAAATAAGATTACTTTGGAGCTAAATTAAATGTAATACAATTGAGTGATCCTATCATTCAAATGACAATAAATAATGATAAAAATTTATGTGATGAAAAGTCAGGGGTGTACCAAATGGAAATCTTGAAAAAGAAGAACAAAACTGGAGGCATCACAATCCCAGATTTTAAGATATACGACAAAGCTGTAGTAATAAAACAGTATGGTACTGGCACAAAAACAGACACACAGATCAGTACAACAAAACAGAGAGCCCACAAATAAAGCCACAATTATATGGTCAATGAATCTACAACAAAGGAGGCAAGAATATACAATGGTTTGAAAAAGTCTCTTCAACAAATGATGTTGGGAAAACTGGACAGTTAATATGCAGAATGAAACTGGATTACTTTATTACACCATACACAAAAATAAACTCAAAATGGAATAAAGACCTAAATGAAAGATCTGAAACCATAAAATTTCTACAAGAAAACATGGGCAATAATCTCTTTGAAATCAGCCATAGAAATATTTCTCTGGCAAGGCAAACAAGAGCAAAATTAAACTACTGAGACTACACCAAAATTAAAGACTTTTGCACAGCAAAGGAAACCATCAACAAAACAAAGAGGCAATCTACAGAATGGGAAAAGATATTTTCAAATGATACACCCAATAGGGAGTTAATATCCAAAATTTACAAATAACTTATACAACTCAACAGCAAAATAATAATAATAATAATAATAATAATAACGCAATTAAAAATGGTCAGAAGACATGAACAGACATTTCTCCAAAGCAGACATACAGATGACCAACAGACGCATGAAAAGATGTTCACCAACACTAATCATCAGTGAAATGCAAATCAAAACCACAATGAGAAATCATCTCACACCTGTCAGAATGGCTAAAATCAAAAAGACAAGAAATAACAAGTGTTGATGAGGATGTGGAGGAAAAGGAACCCTCATGCATTGGTAGGAATGCAAGCCAGTGCAGCCACTTTGGAAAACAGTGTAAAGGTTCCTCAAAAAACTAAAAATATAATTACTGTATTATCCAGTAATTCCACTACTGGGTATTTACTCAAAGAATGCAAAAACAAAAATTCAAAAAGATGTATGTTTATTGCAGCATTATTTACAATAACCAAAATATAAAAGAAACCCAAGCATCCATCCACAGATGAATGGATAAAGAAAATGTGACGTATATATATACAAAATGGAATATTAGCCATAAAAAAGAATGAAATCTGAACTTTTGCAACAACACAGATGGACCTAGAGGGTACAATGGTAGAGTGAAATAACTCAGTCAGAGAAAGACAAACACCATATGATTCTATTCATATGTGTAATTTAAGAAACAAAACAAATGCATAAAGAAAAAAAGGAGAGAAAGAAATAACCCAGATTCTTAAATATAAAGAACAAACTGGTAGTAGCCAGCAGGGAGGTGGATGGGGAATGGGTGAAATAGGTGAAGAGGATTAAAAGTACACTTATCATGAAGAGTACTGAGTAACATATATAATTTTTGAATCATTATATTATACCCCTGAAACTAATAGAACACTGTATTTAATTATATTTGAAATTTTTTAAAAAGTAATTTAACTTTTGGGTGAGGAACTAAAATGGCAGCATAGTAGGACTCTAGGCTCCTCTTGTCCCTTAAACACAACTAGGTAACTATAGCATCATTCTGAATACTCAAGAAATTGACCTGAGGACTGACAGAACAAACACCACAACTAGAGGGAGAGAAGAGGTAGGTAGGTACACCACATCTAGGTAGGTAGGAAGCACAGAGACTTTGGGGGAGAAATGGACTGCAGGTGCTGCAGAGGGGAGGGAGCCCTGGTGGTGGAGAGATGAGAAAGAGAGGGGAGGGAGAAAGAAAGAAAAAGAAAAGAACACACAGGGGAATGCACAAAAACACTTCCCCAAAGCCATTGGCCGGGAAAAGGAGACGGGCGGATTTTCCTAAGTTTTTGCAATCAGCGGAGCTTGAAGACAGGAGTTTTAAAGGTCAGCAGGCTTGACGAGAAGGTAGGCAAACAAATCTGGGGCAGACAGTGACATCTGAGGAATGCCCAAGGCACACAGTGGGGAAATTGTTCGCTTGTGGGGCGCATCTGAGAGAGGTAGCATTTGGAGAGGCACCTCTCACGGGCCAAAAGAGCTGGGAATGCCATTTCCCTACCCTGCCCCTCAGCATAGGCACAGAGCCACCTGCCAAGGGAAGCTTGGACCCAACAATGGCTGCCTACCCTGTGCACCTTGGCCTCTGGCAACTGCTGTTCTTGGTCAAACCTGCATCAGTCCCAGGGCAACAAGACCTTTCGCCAGGAGGCCAGCACAGGCCATGCCCACACCACATCCCTAAAGTTTGGAGTTTTAGAAGTCAGAAGGGTTGGCTGGGATAGAGCCCTAAGTACACTGCACTGCTCCTGGCAGACAAGCAACCCAGGGACAGACAGCATGAAAATGGCAATCTGAAAAATGCCTGGGACACAAGAAGGGAAACTACCTGCTCTTCTGAGAGTGCTTCCCTGATAGCAGCAAGCACGGAGACCCCTCTCTGGGGACAAGGGAGCACACTGGCACCATTTCTCTCCCCAAGTGTCAGCATAAACCACCTGCAGTAAACAGCATAGTGCCTACACTGACTGCCTAACCTGCTTACACCATGCCCTGCACCGCCCCCCAGCACTCTGGTGAGACTTCCCTTCTTGGGCAAGCATGCTTCAGTACCAGTGCAGTTGGCCGCTTCGCCAGAAGACCAGCAGAAACCCCGCAAACATCACGTCCCCTGGCCAGACAGTTCTGCAAGGCTTCAGTTCTAGAGGAAGTTGTTAAAACTCACCACACTCTGTTCCAGGTGCAAACAATGCTCACTGGCAAGCAAACAGAACCTCTGAAGATGATTGGCCTAAAGGACATAGTAGCCAAAACACAGCAGTGAAGTGCACACAACACACACCAGAGACACTCCCTGAGGCACCAAGCTCTGAACACTATATGACCTCTTCTTCATAAAGCCATTGGTCTCAGAAACAGGAAATATAACAGGCTTTTCTAACACACAGAAGACAGAGACCTAGATAAAATGCCATGACAGAGGATTTAATCCCAAATGAAACAACAAAAAGTCATGGCCAGAAATTTAATCAAAATAGATATAATATCCCTGATAGAAAATTTAAAGCAACAATCATACAATACTTGCTGAGCTTGAAAAAAGGGAGACCCTTACCTGAGATAAAACTGTTAAAAAACAATCAGTCAGAAATGATAAATGCAATCTGAAAACAAACTGAAACAAACTGGATGCAGAGAACACGTGGATGGAAGAAGCAGAGGAACAAATAAGTGATACAGAAGATAAAATAATAGAAAATAATGAAGCTGTACAAAAGAAAGAAAGAAAGAATTATGGAACATGAGAATAGACTTAGGAACTCAGTGACTCCATCAAACATCATAACATTCATATTATAGGAATCCCAGAAGGAGAGAGAAAAGGGGGGAGAAAATTTATTTGAGAAAATAACAGCTGAAAACTTCCCTTATCTGGGGAAGGAAAGAGACATCCAGATCCAGGAAGCACAAAGAACTACCATGAAAATCAATAAAAGCAGGTCAACATCAAGACATATTGTAATCAAATTTATAAAATATAGCCAAAAAAAAAAAAAAATCCTAAAAGCAGCAACACAAAAAGTCCCTACCTTACAAAGGAAGATCCATAAGTCTAGCTTCACATCTCTCCATAGAAACTTGACAAGCCAAGTTTGTCATGTGGCATGATAAATTCAAAGTGCTAAATGGGAAAAATCCGCAGCCAAGAACACTTTACCCAGCAAAGCTATCATTCAGAATAGGAGAGATAAAGAGTTTCCCAGACAAATAAAAACTAAAGGAGTTCGTGACCACTAAAACAGCCCTGCAAAAAATATTAAAAAGGACTTTTCAAGTGGAAAAGAAAGACTAAAAGTGACAAAGACAAGGAAGGAACAGAGAAAATCTCCATAAACAATGACAAAACAAGTAATACACTGCTACTAAATATATACCTATTAATAATTACTCTAAATGTAAATGGACTAAATACTCCACAAACAAAAGACATAGGGTGTCAGAATGGGTAAAAAAAAAAGGGTACTGGGGTGCCTGGGTGGCTCAGTCAGTTGAATGTCCAACTCTTGATTTCAGCACAGGTCATCTAGGGTCAGGGGACTGAGCCCTGCATTAGGCTCCACACTGAGTGTGGAGTAAGATATTTCTCTCTTCCTCTGCCCCTCTCCCCACTCATGTACACTCTCTAAAATGATAAAAAAAAATTTTTAAAAATAGGGGCACCTGGGTGGCTTAGTCAATTAAGTGTCCAACTTCAGCTCAGGTCATGTTCTCACAATTTGTGATTTCAAGCCCCAAATCGAGCTCTCTGCTGTCAGTGTAGAGCCTGCTTCAAATCTTCTGTCCCCCTCCCTCTCTGCCCCTCCCCATCTTGTGCTCTCTCTCTCTCAAAAATAAACAAACATTTAAAAATGTTTATTAAAAAAATAATAAATAGGGGTGCCTGTGTGGCTCAGTTGGTTAAGCATCTGATTTTAGCTCAGGTCATGATCTCACAGTTCATGAGTTTGAACCCCGCATTGGGCTCTGTGCTGACAGCTCGTAGCATGGAGCCTGCTTCGGATTTTGTCTCTCCCTCTCTGTCTGCTCCTACCCCTTCATGCTGTCTGTCTCTCAAAAAATAAGTAAACATTGAAAAAAAAATTTTTTTAATAAATAAATAATAGCAAGACCCTACTAAATACTGCCTAAAAGAAACTCATTTTAGACCCAGACACTGGTAGTTTGAAAGTAAAGGATGGAGAAATATTTATCATGCAAAAGAACATCAAAAGAAAGTCAGAAGAGCAATACTTATATCAAA